ATTTATGTATAATAGTTTCAAGACTTTGGGAGTCTTTTATGAACAAATGCTCATTGCACTACATTATATGCAAATAGTTTGTTTTGCTGCTAGGATTTCAAATTGGAATAATAAAGCTGTGTTTTCATGTTCTTTTACATCTCTTAAAGATATTTTTGGATTTGTTACCAAACATTACATATAAGAGCAGCCTTTCATTATTTTTAAATCAGTTATTTCATTACTTGCTGATCTGTGAGTATTCCCAAGAAGTGTTTATAAATGTTTCTACAATAGTTTCACATTTATACTTACGTTTTAATTAAACAATATCAAAATTGCTTGCTTAAAATCTAAGCAATATGCATTTTGCTTGAACTGCTTACAATAACTTTAACCTAAGATTATAGTGACCTTATTCAGGAAAAATAATTTAGTGTACCTTCAAAGACTTGACATTCTTGTCAGAGAAAAAAACATTTCTAGATACTGTATGCTTGTTTTTTGTTGTTTGTAGAAAGATACAATATTTTGGTAGTAATTTAAAATACAAGAATGAAAATATTTATTTGTCCACAGTTGGAAATGTTGGATAAATGTCTTCTCTCAAAGATCACAGGACTTTTTGTCTTTCATTTTTGTCATTTACCAGTTATAAAAGATCTGGTTTGGATTTGTGGAATTTAATGTTAATCAGCTATATGTATTCCTTTGTAGGGACTGGAGGAAGTATTTCACATAAGGTGTTTTGTAAAACTTAACAATTTAATCAAAGATATATTTACATTGGGTTGTGCTCCTTTTCATTAGATCATGGTAAATTTTTCTTATTGGGATAATTATGTACTACTTGAATATGAAGGGAGTCTATGACATTTTACACTAGCAAAAATGTTAGGTTAGAGGTACTCTTACCATTTTTCTCAAAAATAACTGATCAGATAATTATACAAATTATTCAAGAAAATAGATCACAAAGAGCAACATTGTTTTCTAAGAATTCACTAGGATTTATGGAATCAGCTCTCGCACTGCCCATCTTTGCAGTTTTGAAAAATAAATTGCTTATTTAGAAGTAAAATTCTAAAGTCTTTAATGTAATAGAATTAGCTGAGTAAGTTACTTGGTGATTCCAGGGATAAGACTAATATTTTAAATTATTTATGTTCCTGAATAGTTCAAAAATGTATTCATCAGAGAATTTGGAGCAAAATATACATGTAAACGTCACAGAGTAAATGAGAAATGTATCAATGCAGTAGCTCAGGATTATATGTACCTTTGAAAATACACTAATAAAGATTATTATTCAAACATTACCTTGTTTTATTCCATTAAAAAATAATGTTTTCAAAATTTCCTTGAGATCTTTCTCTTAAGTTTTCATGTTTTAGAATGTGTATGTTTCTTTATATAATATTCATTAATGTTTTCTACTATTTTCATGACTTTATTTTTAAAATATAAGTTTTAAGTCCATTTATTTGTAATAAACTCAATGTGGGTATGGAATGATTATTTCTTTTCCTAATGGTTAGCAGAATTGTATATTGAATAATCCATTCTTTCCCACGTTGATTTGATATCCCACACTAAATTATATGCTACATGATTGTATTCTTTCTAAAATATAAATCCATGAGAGCAGGAACTCTGGCAGTCTTGTTCATTGCTTTATTCCCACTTAGAAAAGTTCCTAGTATATAGCCTAGTGTATATGTGCTCAATATACATGAATGGATATGCATGAATGAAGAAATGAATTGGTATTTTAGATTCTTATATGTAGTTGGGACTGTACTTTATATTTTGTAGTAGAATGTATAGGTAGATATTTGTATAATATTTTTCTTGGGTTAAGGAAAGACTTTTCAAGTAGAATGTAAAAGCAGAAGTCATACAGGAAAGGATAGATAGAATGGATGATTAAGACAAAACACATAAAAATCGTAAGTGAAGCCAAAAGACAAACTGATGAAGATATTTACAAAATAGTAGAAAGATTTAATCTTTATTGGAAGGGACTAAACACATGAAAAAGCAATTCACAAAAAAAAGAAATACAATAGGAAATAAATACCATTTTTTTTCAATTTATTAATAAAGAATGTAAGTTAAAACAAAGTGATACTATTTTTCACTTACCATATTAACAAAGAATTTTAAAAAGCAATAATATCCCTGTAATGTTGAGGATATGGGGAAACACACACACACACACACACACATTCATATTCTTTGACTTAGTAATTCCATCCCTAAGAATTTATCTTAAAGGTATTATGAATAAAGGAACAGATGTATATGCATAATGATGCTTATCACATTTCTGTTTATAATAGGGATTAAAAACAAGAAATAGTCCAAAAATCAAATAATATGGAATTGATGTAATAAATTATGTCACATCTATGCTATATAATAACAGGCAGTCTTTAAGAATATAATGAAGTTTTCATCTATTTAATTGGAAATGGTTCACAAAATATTGTGTGATGCATGGAGTATGATCTACTTTTGGAAAAAAATTATTTTATGTGTATGTATTAAAAAAACTAAAGAAAATTAAACTCTAAAATGTTAAGAGTGGTTATCTCTGGGTGATGAGAGAATAATGGATGAGAGAATAATGATTTTTATTTTATTTTTAAAATAGATTAATAATTAAAGAGTAAATTTTACTCTTGGTAAATAGATAAGAATTGTATGTGATGCTTACATCAGCATTTGTACATTTTTATTTTGATTCTTGAAGGATTTTAAAATAAATTTACTAAAATCCAAACCAATGAATTTCACCGATAAAACAAATTTTAACATCAAGAAATATATATTTAAGCTTAGTCCTATATGAATTACCTAAAATTTTTAATTAATTAAATTCAAATTTGTGAAACTTTATAGTCAGGTTTCTGTTTGTTTGTTTTAAGTAGAACATGTCTTCCAGTGCCTAGGGAACATAGAAAGTGCTGGGAAAAGGTTATTTGAAAAAATACACCATAGCCACTAATTAGAAAAGAAAGGATTTACTTGTCCCTTGCTGTCCAAAGTACTAAAAATTGCCTTAGTTCTTCTTAGAAAAGAGGAGAAAAATGGCGCCATGGTCAGGTGTCCTTGAACATGTCATTTGTGTGTGTGTATGTGTGTGTGTGTGTGTGTGTGTGTATAAATAGATTTATTTCATTTTAGAACAAAAAAAGAAACCTAATAATGGCATGTGTCAGGTACAGTGCTAGCCTCACAACATGTGCTGTTTAAATATTCACAGGAATCTAGGAAGCAAGTATGGTATTCTTGTTTCTGTTTTATCACAGGAAATTGAGGTGCTACTCTCACAGATCTGAAGAAGTAGATTTTGAGTAGGACAGGAATCTGCATTAAAAACAATCACTATCACTCCCAGATGAATCTGTTGTAGGCTTTTCCTGGATCACACCCTGAGAAACACTGTACTACACTATGTTGAAAATATACTCACACATTTATATCCACTTTCTCTGGCATCCATATTTTCACATATAGAAAAAGCTATGATTGTATTTGAGTAAATAATGCCATTTCTTTTGTTTAGCTTTTGTTTAGTTTTGATATGGCTATATTTGCACTCATATGCTATCATAAAACTCTACAGCCTTTTCCATGTTCACGATCTGCACAAATTGCTATAAAATCTAAATTTTCATTTATTCAATGTATGTTTCTGGCATGTACATACAAATATATGTAATAAGCTATGAAAAACAAAGCTCTAGTGTTTGAGTCGACTTACATGTTTAATCTCCATGTCACAGTTATGGTTCTACCATTGAAGAAGCTAAGAGAAGTTAAATCATTGAAGGTCGCACAGCTTCTATGTGATGAAGCCAGCTGGAATAAAACAGCCTGTCTGCCTCCAAAATTATCTGCTTTCCACTACATGAGATTTTACTGTGCTTTACTTTGTACTGAATAACTTTGAGTTTTATGCCCCCTGCTGTTCATTGTCTGTAGCTCACCTGTGGAAGAAAATAGAAAATGCCCAAAATATTCATTTTGAAAGAATACTCCAGTTTAAAAAAT